AAAAAAAGATAAATAAGATAACAGTCATAATGCATGTTTACTTAACATTTGTCTTTCGTGTTAATCTCACGTCATTAACTAGTTTTTAGGTAAGGTATTCGTGAAAGGGCACTACAGCAATCCCGATTGTCGAGTAGATTATGGCAAGATAGCAAAAGACGGTAATCCAGTAGGAGGGATTAAACTGAGTCATGGAATGTGCGACATGGATCGCCAACGAATGGTTTGTTGATAGCACGAATTAATATCGGACTTCACCGATCGAGTGAAATATTTGCTGAGCATTACTTGTATTAGATTCACTTGTCATTGATCACTTTCTTTCTTGTCGATGTGATCTGCTTATAGAATTATCAGTGATGTAAAATTTTGCAGATTAAGCCGGAGGGAATGCAGTTCTCCACTATTCTTGTCATCAGTTTCCATCCAGTAAGTGAACATCACATCATGCTTTCTCGGTTCACGAGCTTGCCAATGTCAAAAATTTTCTTTTGGGTGTATGTTCTATAAAAAACATGTCTTCAACATGTCGAATTTTCGAGACAGCATAGATAGTTTATTCACGAGATTCATGAAGTGATGTCGTCCGACAAATGCAAAAAACAAACGCTTTTTCAAATTGCAGTTGTTCATTACGAGTGTGGATCGTGCTTTCCATATCAAATGCATGTACAAAGAAATCGCACGAACCGTTTCATCTGGTCTAGAAGTGAGGTATGTGAGTGAACGATCTGCATTGCGCATTCAGTTTATCATTTAAAACTTGCTTCTATAAGAGGTTATTTGTGGATATTTGAAGAAGTTTGCATTTGATTAAAACTGAGTCAATTTCAGTATACTTCCAACGCAGGCAATCGAATATGACTTTCCAATGCCTGTTTGTACGTACACGATTCGTAAGGATGAAATCGATGGACCAGTGCTTAAATATGCCCATGTTGGTGATCAAATAGTTCATCGATGGGAATGCCAATCAGGTTTGTGTCCCTGTTTGAGTTGAACCATGGATTCTTGCGAATCATTTAAATGGACATTGGAAAAAAATGAATGCTTACCACATCATTCGTTTGCATGCACATTAAGTGAGTTGATTTGTCTTGCTTTTTTTCAGATGTTTATGGTTTGTTGGTGCATAGTTGTTTCGTTGAAGACGGACAAGGCGAAAAAGAACTCATTATTGACGATAAAGGGTCAGTCTCCATTCATTTTCTCTCGTTGAACAGCTATGAAGGCATGAAGGCATCACGAAAAGGCTTTTTCTGAACCCAACAGTGATTGTTTAATTTCCTCATCATGGGCACTTGTGAATTTAAACTCCGTCTGATTTGGGAGCTGAAGACCGAGGGCAGAAATCAAATGAAGAGAACTTCAATGAAAAATAGAAACAGCCATGCGAAACAGGTATT